TAGATAAATCGGAAGGCTATTTCAAATGTACAAAAGTCAATGATAACTCTTCTGACAACCGCACTTGGGATAGCCTTGGACAGTTGTTCTGCTATTTTATTTGATTAAGTTGCAATATTGGATATGTGTATAGTGCTAATACAGATAGTAAAGAAGTACAAAGTAACGTGAGTATCTAAAATGCAGGAAAAGTATATTTCTTGTTATTTGTATTTCAACTTGGTGAAGCCAAATGTATATTTTAGTTATTAACACTTGTGGCTGTAACCGTAAGGCATGGATAACATTATAACAACATTATAACATTACTGTGTGTGTATTTTTGTGCATTAGGAACCCGTAAAAACAGCCATGTTTATATATTTATTTTGGTTTACCTAAGACTATTTTGTACATCGCTAGACAACAAGTCGAAACGGCTATATGCTTAGCAAACGACTAAAATGATGAATTCTAAAAGATTATGTCAATAAATCAAAAGATTTATAGTATGATTATAATTTTTTTTTCATTTATTTATATAGTTAAAAATCTATAAATACATAAAAAGAAATGTAGTGGGTATAAAAGTAATAAAATTTTAATTCGCAGTACAACTATAAAAAAAAATACTTTGTAAGCATGTGTTTAACGAAAGGTGAGTTTATCGCTAAAAGAAATCTCTCACAGACAATGTTATGGAAGTATAATTTTATTGTTATACACTTAATAGTATTATGAGTAATCAGATATCAGTATACATATATCAGTTTTCTTGATCTAATACGCAATGTCAATATTTCTTTTTAAGGATATACTTGTTGTAAAATCTGTAGTATCGTGACTTTATTTCTGTAAACATGTTATTTATATATTTCGTGTCTCAAATCTCGTTAGTTTTTTCATGTAATAATCTTACTTCTTACTAATATCATGAAAAAGGATGTTTGTGAATGTAGATGGATGGGTTGTCACTCTTTCATTCAAACTCTACGGAATGGATTTTAATGAAACTTTAATAGAATAGATCTTATACATCAATGTAACATATAGCTATAAATTTCACGCCGATGGCACCGCGGGCACAGCTAGTATTCTTAAAAAATATATATAAAGGGAAATATTTTGTCTTGGCTTTTAAAAACAGCTGTTACCCTTTCGGTCACTATGATTTCATAGATACTATAAGGGATCATTGAACCGCCATGGTACCTTTTAGGTGCAATGAAGACATTTTTATATGAAATTATTTTATTATTCTTAATTAGTTTAATGCTATCAATAAAATATACTTAACTAACACTATGCCCTATAACTGAGAATACATATATGTAATTTGTTAGCATCGTATATATTCCGTTCTGTGGCTTCTCAATCTCGGGGATAGTTAGGCATTTATAATCATCGATTGGTTTGTCTTTTTATAGAAGTATCGTTGAACCTCTATACACAATGCAGCCATGACCCGTTTCGAACGTATACTTTTATAGTTGTCATTTTGTTATTCATGTTCGCTTGTAAACATGTCAAAATTACTATATGTTTACTGTAATAAATTGGTTAGTAACTTTATCCCATATTTTCCTTAAAAAACGATTAGTACAGATTATTAGTAACAAGGTGAAAAGAGAAACTAATGTCAAGGCACATGAAACTACAATAATGCTATGCATTTTTAAAGGTTAAAATATTCAGCCATCGCCGGCGACGCTTCAGCGGGTCGTCTCTATGCATAATTCATTGATCGTTGTCGTCGTTTTCTGTACGGCTATATGTCTTTATATATCTTAAAATTGTTATCTTGACTTTTAAATCAACATTTCTATCTGTTATAACAGTAAGCATCCTGTATCTATGACTACATCTAAGACGCTTCTTCCTACAGGCTTGAGACATTATAATGTATCAATATTTTAAACGATTCATAAGTTAAGTTTATAATATCTGGTTTCATATAGAAGAATGTTGGTTTACAAAAATGTAACACAACATTATAAATATAACTCCATACTATTGTCCGTGCTTATCTAATTGTTTATTTACCTGTTACTTTTATTGTGGTGTAAATGATAAGGGCATATAAATCGAAGTGGAACTTTATGGTTCTATTTATTTATATAACTTTAATTAATGCACATAGGACAAAGTATTTAGCGTAATGAACACCATGAGACTACCACCATTAACATAAATTTATACCAGCATATTTAAGAATAATTCTGTGTAGGATAAAGTAAGTTTTAGATATCGAATCTAAACGTGCAATGATCGAATTTCTCATGTGCTTATCATTACAGAGTTAGTTTGGGTATGCCAAACCCGTTCGAAATATTATCATTACTATCATTACTATTAATATATTTGGAATTCACTTTTTGTCCCACGGTGACATAAGTTTGTATTATGTGCCTAATTGTACATTATACTCCCCTCATATTCATTAAATTTCTTTTAGAACGAGAATGGGACAATTGAACCAATTTAAATTTTAAATTATAGGGTCTTTTACTAAAGTAACGTACAGAAATTGTGTCAACGTCTGTTTATCAAAACTTTGATTCTACGCTTATCTGGTGCCATAAACGCTCCATACATGTTATCTTGTTTGGAAATGTTAAGAAAGATAACAACAATATTTTTAGTGATAAATGCCCCAAATATTTCTTCTCAGGGTATATTCAATTAAGAAGTATATTTAATTTTTAGATCAGAATTAGAATTAGTCACTTGACTACTCACAGTGTATAGGTTATACCACAGTACCTAAGTATTATTGAAGTAAATGTTCGTATTTTAATTGTATAATGCATAATAACTACAATACTTACATCACGAAGAAAATAAATGTTATCTATTAATGCAATTCTTTATTAAATACATATTTATGCCTTAAGTTCTAAAGTATGTAAAAGTGTTCCTAATCTGAACGAAGAATAGAATAGAATAGAATAGAAAATCATTTATTCAAATAAACTTAATTTAAGCACTTTTGAATAGTCATAACAATTTGTTTTTTATCTACCACTCGTTCGGAAAGCTGTCTCATCACAAGAAGAACGAGCAAGAAACTTGTGTGTTGCTCTTTTAAATAATCCTTGTAAGTTTACATTTACAAGTCGAAACGTAGTTTCCTTCTATCCTTAACTAGGTCCTACATCTTTTGCTTCATCTAAAATGATTTAATTGTTTGGGGGATTCCTCTCGGCCTCTGTTTTGGTACCTGCATTCCTAGACTTCCGCATTGTATATTTCATCCATTCATTTTACATATGAGTTAATTTTAAAGCGGCTACGGATGATTTTGTACCCAACCGGCCGAGTTCAAATCGGTCATTCTCTCTTTCCATACACAAACTCATCTAACTTTAGTATAGTTCAGTAGAACTATCGCGTAGAGCTCTTGACGGGCTTTGTAGCTGAGCATGAGGAGTTGAGTCGGGCCAACCTAAAATTAACATGTGTGTTCAACTAGCCCAACTACTATTTGCGCGTACCATAATTGTCATGATCCTGAGATCGCCTTAGCGAGACCTTCGTTTTTCAAACATGCCTATATGGTTTACGTTTCTGACACACATATTATAATTTAATATAAACCTTAAAACGGCAACGAAATGAGGTATGTAAATACTGTTTACCTAATATCGTCGCACAGGTCCCGAAAATAAATATTAATAAAAAAAAACATATACTAACTGAATGAATTATTAACGCCGATCCTAAACCGCTGAGGTTAGAAACTTAAAATTTAAATATAGATGCTTTTAGCCTTAGACATCTACTAAGAAATTATTTTCCGAATTTCTCGGTGAAACGTAAGAGAACAATAAACAATTTAAATGTATACATAAAACATTTTACTCTTTTATTTCAAAACCTTTGTTTAAGGTATAACGAGTACACTCACTAAATGATATTTGCTACAATCAAAAGTCTGCAAATGTTTTTAAGTTATTAAAAAAAGTTAATTGTGTTTATACCGATATGTTATTATGATTATACATATATATATATATATATATATATATATATATATATATATCACATTATCTAATTATCTATTAGATGTTTCACTCATAAAGGTTCATTAACTGCTGTGGTCATTTGTTTTCTTTATCGTGTTGTTGAGTTGGTTCTGATTGCAATCTAGGCCACGATTCAACTCATTGCTTTAAATAATTAGTATAATATGCGTATAATTAATTGTTAAAAGTTCGACAAATGATTGGATGTAGATTCGTTTTGTTAGATGTTTTTACTAGCGATTATAGATTAAAGAAAGATTATAGCTATTTAACAGAGCATAGAATTGTTTTTGGTAGTTAATCTTTTTCATTGTTTTTTACCGTAATTTAATTGATTCACGTCTGCTAATCAGTTATTACATTATCAAATATATAAGACACATACATTTTGTTTCCTGCGATACAAGTACATCTTTATTATATTTATCTTATTATGTCATTGTTCATTTTGTGATTTAAAAACAATATTGTATTAACGTATGCAGGAGTCGTTGTGGAAATTAAAGGGTAAAATACGAAGAATGTATTGTACTGTAGAATTACTATAATGTAGCTATAAAGTAGTACGTAAATTAGTGGTATTAAATAAGATTAAGGTATTACTTATCGTATATTCACTGTAGCTCTTTCAATAGTTGTATTTATTATAGTTTGTGTACAAATAAAACCTATTTAAGCGCTTTGAGCGATGCATGTGGAGCGATTTGTTAGTCTATGGCGTCTATTGTTGGCGGCACCTCGTTGCCGTCTATTATTGACTCGCTGCTGGAGATAGTTGGCATTGCGCCAGCGCAAACCACGTGTTCTCTCGTCACGGGACGAGACATGCGCTAAAGTGACCTAGCGTTCCCCTGCACCTACTGTGCCCCTCGACATATTGGTTAACTTAGAAACCGGCATTGGAACAATTCTTTTATCAATTAAAATATTTTATAGAAATACTATTTTCTATTATAATATAAGATTTAGATTGAATGTTTGTTCCACTTGTTACAGTTGAGAAACAAAATAAACAAGCATCAAAAATGAGAAAAGAGGTTGCCATCAAAGTATCTTGCAGCAACGGTCACGCGAACACACCTAACGGTCGAGCAGATGACGAAGGTGGTGGTGGGACCGTTACCACGCCACCACGCGTCTCTTACGCGGCTGCTGCTAGGAAACCCCCTTCACCTCAGGCGGGAAGCACGCCGGCGCCTTTTCCCTTAAATACAGGTTGAAGTGCTAATAAAATTTAAAGTATACAAATACAGAATGCAATATAATATATTACTTAGATAGAATAAATTAATATTAAATAAATATAGTATTATATTATTAAAGTATTATGTATATCTACTTATTATAAGTTTCAATTAAGGCGTGTTGACCAAATTTATACTCCGTATATTGAGTTGTAGGTATATTTCGGGTTATAAACATACAAATAATAAAAACTTAGGATATTTACAGGGCATACTGAACATTACAAAGCAATTGATTAGGAAAAAAATGGCAATTATTATTATTACATTAATTTTGACAACCAACATGTCACTCAATTACTTTTATGGCAAGAAATATTGGAATGGCATTCAGTCATATTATTTATTACAGTATGTTGAGTCTACTAACAGTATTTCTATGTTAATACTTCTTAATATTATTTGATTTTCAGAATCACAAAAAGTTAAAATTAATGATAAGTCATCACAAACAAAGTCTGTCAATGCAGCATCAAAAATTAACGGAGATGGATGTGACAGTAGCAAAAAACACAAATTAGGCACCAAAGAATGTATAGTCAATGGCACTGAGACCATAAGTGAGAATATTGTCAATGGCGATATAAAAAATAAATTGGATTGTGATATTAGAAGTAGTAATAAGACAGATTTAACTAACGGAATTAACAGTGATTCAGATGATACAAAATCTAGTAAGTCTGACGAGGGCCATGATATAATTTTACCAAGTAATGATAATGTTAAAGTTTTAGAATCTAAATCGGTTTCTGACAAAAAGAAAGATAAGAAAATCAAAACGACGTCTAACAGCGATTCTAATAAGAAAAAAGAGAAAATTAAAACAGTTGAAATTAATGATGAACTGGAAAAAGAAAAGATAATGGACAATGTATCGGAAAAAGTAAACGGCGAGAATTGTAAAATTGTAAATGGTGACAAGGATAGAGAGTCTACACCTAGCGAGGATGATGATGAGAAAAAACGTGACGCCGAAGTGGTGTTTATTCAAGACATGGGTTTTACTGTAAAAATTGTGAGCCCCGGTGCTGAACCATTAGATATTCAGGTTCTTAAAATATATATTTCTTAAAATTCTTCTAACACTCTGTTATTATAATTAATAAATATTCTTAATAATTATTTCAGGTATCCAGCATGGAATTGGTACAAGAAATACACCAAGTTCTCATGGATCGCGAGGACACATGTCACAGAACGTGCTTTTCTTTACAACTGGATGGCGTGACTCTGGACAACTTTGCTGAATTAAAGAATATTGAAGGACTAAAAGAAGGCTCGGTGATCAAAGTAAGTTTCATTATATCGATACAGCTTCTTAACTAAGCATAATTATGTGAAGTTGCAAGAAGTATAAAAATATTATTTACAGGTGGTAGAAGAACCATATACTATGCGTGAAGCCAGAATTCATGTCCGTCATGTTAGAGATCTCTTAAAGTCAATCGATTATACTGATGCATATGCTGGACAAGAATGTAGTTCTCTTGCATTCCTGAACATTATTACACAGGGGGACATACTAGGTAATTATCTTAGTACAGCTCAAACATAGATTTAAAAGGATGTCACTACTGCATTATATGTGCTATTTTCGTATGAGTTAGCGAATGCATTTACTTGGATTCCGTATATATGTATATAGTTAAGTATTGTTGACAAACCAAAATTCCAAGCGGTAACTACGAGTAGGTTTGTAGTTTATAAATAGCTTTCAAATTTTATAGTGAGTAGAAAAACTCGCTGCAAGTGGTATCTATTTAAATCTGTGTTTCCGACATACTCTAATTTCAATAAATAAATATAATGAAACACACTTGATCTTTTGTTAAATTTTAAAGTAATATGCAATTTTTTTATTTTTACTTTAGAAAAAAAGAAATCACGGCCTGAAAGTGTAGATTGCACTCCTCCCGACTATATTATGCCAGGCAGTACTGAGCGTCCATTGCTGCCCTTGCATCCTGGTCTTACTAAAGAAAACAAAGCCCCTCAATGTCTCAAGGTAAGTACTTCCAACCTATATGAAAACATTTTAGATCCCTCTCTAAAACAACATTACTGATTTCCATAATATATTTGAAAAAAAAAAATTGTGTGAAACAGACTAAGAACTGTATAGAAACAGGTAAATCATGTAAGATCAAATATTATTGCCAGGTATTAACGACGTCAGGCTGGAACCCGCCACCGGGGCCGCGGAAGATGTGCGGAGACCTGTTATATCTCCACGTTATCACTCTCGAAGATCGACACTTTCACATCACGGCATGTCCGCGGGGATTCTATCTCAACCAGTAATATAACCCTATTATATTTACAATGGCAGCATGCAACTAGTTTGAATAACAGTCTATTGCCACTAATTAACAATAATATCGGTTAGTCCTTGGCGTTATTGTAGCACGAGTTTCGAAACGTGAAATATGTCATTATGTACGTTGTGTATGTTTTATTATGGCAATTCTTTTGAATGGAAAAGGCAATTCTATTTCAAAATGTTTATTTTAATGCCTGCATGACAATTATGTAGTTAATTTTGCAACATGTTAATTATTCTAATTTGACACTTGCAGTTTTCATATTCATAGTTCATCATGCTTCTACTAGTAAAATTAGATGACATGATTTGTATTCGCTGCTTATTTAGATCGACTATGCATATGTGTAAATAAGTCGCTAATGGTGAGATTTAATAAAATATAGCTAATTTTATGGTCTAAAATTAAATGGTAAACTCTTCATGTGTGATTTGATCATGTGATCAGGAAGTTCCAAGCAAAACCTTAATGATGAAGACTATAATATATATTTATTTGTAATTCGATAAAATATGTACAGTGGACACAGATAAATTATTTATTCCACTGAAGTGATTGAAATATATGTACTATTTGAAAACATAACGAAATATTTTCAAATAGCCTAATTTTGATTAACTAAATTTAGACTATTTATACATATTTAGTAATATGTTTGCACAATTTGATAATATTTGTTTATGCGTTCATCAGGTCCACAGAAGAAGTGTTCAACCCTCGTCCGTCCTATTCGGCCCTGTTGTGTCACTCATTGATTGAGCTGCTCAGTATAGTATCATCGGCGTTCAAGCGCAACTTCGCATTGGTACAGAAACGACGTATGCAGAAACATCCATTCGAAAGGGTCGCTACCCCATACCAGGTGTACCAGTGGGCCTCGCCTGTATTAGATCACACGGTTGATGCTATTCGTGCCGAGGACAGTAAGTAGTTTTAATAAAGAAATATGACATTTAGTTATTATGAATAGTATGTTTAAATAAAATGTGGCTGGATAAGATTTTAGGCGTAACCAAAGGAATTAGAAACTTTTCACTTAATCATTTTCTCAATAATTAAATATGACTATTATAGCATACATTTTGTATATTACCAATGTTGCAAATCCGATCCTTGACAGAATTTTACATTGTTATGAGGAGTACATAATAAATAGTAATAGTTACGTATAGTCCGGTCGGACCGATTAACCGTTTGTACCGAACGAAATATTAGTACAACGGTTTAACTGAAATATCGGATGTGCCATTTCGTAATACATTTGAAATTAATTCTCGTAGTTCATAAATGTGTTTCTCTCTTACCATTGATGTTATGTGCAAACTAAATGCAATTTATAACGCATGAAAGATAAGTAATAGCAAAAGAAAAATGTCCCAAAAGCTTGTAACATAACTTATAGCATTTAATAAGCTCAAAAACCCGTACTGTTATTAGATAGTACGTATTATTGTAATTTAGTGTTCGAATATGAATATAAAACTTGTTTACTTTACTTCTAGCCTTTTCCTCAAAACTGGGATATGAAGAACACATTCCTGGCCAGACCCGAGACTGGAACGAGGAGTTACAAACCACTCGTGAGCTACCACGAGCCACACTCCCGGAAAGGCTACTACGCGAGCGCGCTATTTTCAAAGTAATATAATTTGCTAATTATTTTTTTCATATACGACTGCCATACAAATTGGTGACTCACAGGGACCTATAGACTGGAACATAGTGCAGTGCCAGACCTCATATGTAACATAATAAACATGTGTTATCTACACTTCCTAAGTTACCATGACGCTATACATACATATCTTGTTTCAGCTCAATAAAATGTACTTACCTATTGTTTATGGTTTGGTCACATTTCTTATCAGCTTTTATCGTATTATATGACATGAAAGTATATGTTTCGTAATGCAATGATATTATTTATATCAGACATTATTTTATCTGTATGCAAGTAGACTACTTTATTATTTCACTCATTACGGATGAAACAATGTGTAGTATTAAATTGTAGTCATATCTTATGTAGATATGACTACAATTTTATACTACCCATTACTAAATATTTAATAATCATATTTTTTAGACACTAATGTTTTTGTTAGTCTTTATAATTACCAACCACTTAATGATATTAAATATATTTTACCTGAGATTACAGCATTAGTTGTTAGAGAATAATATGCAGTTAGCTGATAGACGTTAGTAGTATTAATGAATCGGAGAAAATTTCACATGCCTGTTATATGAATAGGTCAATCTATGTAAATAAATAAAATTGGAGTGTCTGTTTGTAATATTAAAACCAATTTTTACTATATGCATAATTTCAAATAATAATAAAAATGATACACTTCTTCCTAAATACTAATTTATTCATTCATACTGCCCAGTCACGTGGTCAATTTAAGATAAAAGGTTCAAATAATATTTTCAGATTTCCACTTTGTTACATGAATCTGGGTTTTCACTTAGTGTAACTCTATATACAGATAATCAATCAGTTATATTTTTTAGAACCCTATATCTTGTAATTATTATTTTACTACATGACTTCTTTATGTATATATTAATATAACAATTGCTATGACAGGTGCACAGCGACTTCGTAGCAGCAGCAACTCGTGGTGCCATGGCCGTAGTGGACGGCAATGTAATGGCAATTAATCCTGGCGAGGAGCCCAAAATGCAGATGTTTATATGGAACAATATCTTTTTCTCGCTTGGTTTCGACGTCCGCGATCATTATAAGGACCTCGGAGGTGATGCTGCAGCTTTCGTTGCACCGGTAATAAATAATTTATTTATTATAATTATACTATAGAGATAAATAGACCAATTGCAGACACTATTCTCATGTTTGAAAGTATTGTTTAATCTCAATGTTCAGTGTTCAATATTGGTAATTTTGATCTTCCTTAAGAAATTTATGTTACATTCGCAATAAAAACAATAGCAATTGTTTTGTAGTAGTAGTAGCGACTGTACTTCATTGGTAATACACATAAATCGGTAATTTTATTAATTATTATACAGAAGGAATTTCTTTATGATCCTTCATTATGACAGTACAAAAATAGGCTACTGCCTCGTGGAAAACAGTACAAGTTAATAAAAAAAAACTGTGAGAACAGTCTGTGAGATTAATAAACTAATATCCAATTTCATTATATTTAAGAAACTCAATATAGTTTACAATCTAATTATATCATATTTTTAATTCTGTTTTGCATAATACTTTTTTATTATTTTGTTAAGTAGGTCAATAATAGTTTCCCTATCCAATTATTACTAATTGGTTTGTTCAATAAGATGATAATTATAAAAAGACATTTTCATGATGCCTTTAAAATAATGATCATGGTCTTTATCAGTTAGTCTTTGACCTACAATAATATAGTAGTAAATGTTGTTTCCGTTAGACATAATATAAATGGCATTGGAAAATAAGAATATATTATATGAATTTCGTGTCCACATTACAAAATGTTATTTTTCAGTATTATTTTTTGTTAAATTTTCGCATAATAGTTAACTGATATTGTATTTTGTGAATAAAATAAAACTTGTAGACATTATCGTATGTTCTATCTATTTATTACTGAGATTTAATATATTCCTCGCTAATGTGTGTTGTGTGAATACCACAATTTTCACATAGTATGGTAGTATATAAGTATTATTAATTGTTACATAGTCGAGTGTGATAAATCAGTCATGCTCACTTAAATGTCCAGACAGATGGTGGCATGATGGGACGGGTCACTAGGCTTCCTAAAATATGGTTGGGTGCAGTGATTGCGGGCTCATCCGTTTTACTGCTGTGAATGGGTGCTCCTTGTAGTATCTTCTGTGATAACTATGACTGATTTATTTTCTTACTCAAGTAGCTATTATATTTATTTACTTTTGTCAGTCATGCTATTAGCTAATTTGTATTCATATAATATCTTAATTATGTGTCACTCACTCACTCACTCGAGTTTTGTGCTTATTCTTCTTGTGACGAATCTGCTTTCTGAATGAGCGGTAGAATAAAAAAAATATTATATGACTATTCAAAAGTACTTATATGAAGTTTTTTGAATAAATATTATTGCTATGTTTATAATAAATATTTTTTAAGGAATATTTTTCATTAGTTTATGTGTTTATTACTTGTTAATATTACATCACTTTCAAACAAATATAGAACAGAAAAATATATCTATATGTAACATCAGTAGTTACAACAGATTACCATCACGAAATTCTGATAAATATAAAAATATGCATTTTATAATATCTTATCATATTGTATAATATAAGAATTACGTAACAGTATTATAAGTACTATACAACAGATTAACGATAAATTTGCGGTATAATGCTTAAATTTATAAAATTTAGAGATTCATTTTTAGTATCTGTCTGCGTCACACTTAAATCTTTAATATACTCTTGTTTATTCATGAAATAATAAGATTTCAAGTTTAATGGATTTAAAAATAAAGTAGAATTTAATTTTAAAGAAATATATATTACAATTATTCATTACATCTATAACACAATTCTTTTGTGAAAAAGTAAATACGAAAATTCTATGAATTAGATAATATTTTTTTACGAAATATAGTATGTAAGTTATAATATATCTATAATTTATAAATTGAAAATAAATATGTAATAATTGGGTTGCTTATGTAGCGTAATGACCTGCAAGGCGTCCGAGTGTACAGCGCTGTAGACACGCCAGGCTTACACACGCTAGGTACCGTCGTGGTGGACTACCGCGGCTACCGCGTCACTGCGCAGTCCATCATCCCCGGCATTCTCGAGAAGGAACAGGAACAGAGTGTGGTCTACGGCAGTATTGATTTTGGGACTACAGTTTTGTCGCATCCCAAATATATGGAATTGGTGAGTGATGTAGCCTTGACAGCTTCAACGAACGATAGGGGGTGACCGCAGATGACACTTCAAACCCGCGAAAGGATTTATAAGGCGTTTGAAGGCCTAATCGTCCTTGACGGATACGACTTTACGGCACCGATAGGTGACGAATTTCGGCTCGGGTCGTCGTACTTTCGGTCCCTGTTTGAATCGGACGGGGGTTGGGTCAGTATACTTCATGATTACTTTATCTTTTACTTATAGTACAAGTAATAAGTGATAATTATTATTTGTAATATTTAGTATTTAGATAACTTTCATCCCTTGGTATGAAAGTGTCCTGGTCATGGTGAATTTCTTAGTACCTATATATAATTATTGATTATTATAGGCTGAGTAATCTATAAAAATTTGATAAAGAATTGCATAACACATGATTGCGATAATTATGAATTGAATAATACAATAATATTGTTTTAATGTACTGTCATTGTGTATTATTATCTTCAGATCAAGTATTATATTATTAATTTATTATTTATTGCACATATACAAATGTGCAATAAATAATAAGTCATGTTTCAGTAATATATGACTAATAATGCAGCACGATCTTATTAGTAATTAATTGAATGGAAATACTTAGGTTAAAAACCTAGCGTCATGGCCGGACCCGTTTCTATAGTTTCATGTATGCATTTCAATATAGTGAATTTTCATATTAAGATAGAGTATATAATAAAATATTTTTTAAACATTGTATAGTCTGATCAGATTAGATTTTTAGTTGTCTTATTAAACGTAACTCTAAATTACATTTCTGAAAATACTTATACTACTATTTAACTTTAAAAACCTATAAAAGTTAACAGGGATCCCATTTCATTGTAATAAAAAAAAGACATGTTCAATTTAAATTGTAATACCATTAAATATTGATTCTCATAGTCAGAATAGTATCTTAGTGGGATACCAATAGGTTTTAATAATTATGTTACAGCTGAGCAAGGCTGGACAGCAATTAAAGATAATGCCTCACTCGGTGATTAGCGCTAATGGCGACACTGTGGAGCTGTGTTCCAGTGTAGAGTGCAAGGGCATCATCGGCAACGATGGAAGACATTATATCCTTGATCTGCTGCGCACGTTCCCACCAGATGTCAATTTTCTTCAATGTAAATAACTTTTGCTTCAAATTTACTGATTAATTATTGTTGTCCACATTAATCGATAGAACTTACATAAACAGACAAATTGTTCATAATAGGTGGTTAAAAATTCTAAACATAGAAACATTCTAATAAGCTTTCATAGAAAAAGATGGACTAATTTACGCGTTTATTATGATATAATAATTGTTCCGATTACTATTAATTCGTAAATAATAATTTATTCCATTATCAAATTTAGATCATTATCCATCTAATCTTTATAATTAGATTTGATATTGGTATGTGAATTATAATCTGTAAAAACAAGGTCAGACTGTGATCAAGTAGTGTTACATTAGTACAGTTTAGGTATACCTACTGAAATTGTTATGCATGTGTACCTGTATTGAATGCGTTTTATTATCAGCCAATTATAGTACTCTGTAATAGAGTAGCATAACACTAGTGGAAGTGTAATTTAGCTATAAATATTGAAACTTAATAAACGTTCAATGGTCATTAGTTACCTACACTCATTATTTTATTATTTTAATTGTATAAAAATTTACTGAACATAATTAAATATATTTATATAATCTTTACTTACTATATGTTAGGTAATTTAGTCGTAACATTTTACAGTGGAAGATGACGAATTAAGAGAGGATATTAAATCAATGGGTTTCCCAATAATCCACAAACATAAACTCTGTTGTCTACGTCAGGAACTAGTGGATAATTTTGTTGAGTAAGTAAATTTATTTAATTCTATCTGATTTATGCATATATTTAGTTGTGGTTGCTTAATTAGTAATGATATTGTTAAAGGTCCCGTTACTTTATGTTCGTTCGATATGCTGCATTTCACCTGCAACAACTTAGTACTAAGAATCAGAAGGAGATTACTGCTGCTGAGGACAAGGCTATTGAATCCAACAAGAATAATTCTAATGTGATTGCCATTGAACCTGAAGTCAAGGTATGTAAGAGAGATACTAAGAGCCAAGAAAAAGAGGTTAAAGATAAAAAACAAAAGAAAGAAGAAAAGAAAGAAAGTGCCAAAAAGGAAGCAAAAAAGAAGACAGAGACTGAGAAAGAAGAGTTAAAGGAAGAAAAAACCAAAGATGAAGACCTACTATTTAATGATAATTACTCTCAAATCGATACAGACGTTGCCAAAAAAATTGTAGAGAGCATCACAGACTCCATATGTAGTGGAGATAAGCAAGATAGTGACTGTAAGTATTATTTCTTTAATTTACTCGTGAATGTTATCTGTTTTAATGATGTTCACTGAGCATATTTCATCGTATGAAATAGACTTTCTTGTGTCAATACAATGTGGTTTTTATTTTTTCGTCAGCCGGTGAGCGAACTCGCGCCGTGGTGTCGGCAGCGGCGCGTGCGGTCGCCTCCCTGAAGGAATCGGAGTTCGACGTGCGGTTCAATCCCGACGTGTACTCAGCCGGCATCAAACACGCCGCTGCGCCCGAGCATCTCGCCAAGCAGCGCCACCTAGTCAAGGAGGCTGCGGCATTCCTTCTCACCACACAGATACCTGCCTTTGTGAGTATTCACTAAGTAATTAGGTTATAATAGTATGTTTAACTTTTGTATATATATATAGGTCGGAAATAATTGGAAATACTAGTATTGAATTCGAATCTAAATACGTTATGATTATTTCTTGAAATGAGTTTCTTGGAAAAGTTCCTGTTTCATTAATATTATCACTGATAATATTTACGATTAACACTGTACTTTATAAAATTTATTAGATTTCGTTAATTTTGTCCACGATTTTTTAAACTAATAAGGCGTTAACCTTCACTCGAAGACCAAATAGTTCGGTTCAGACTTTTTGGTCCTTCGGTCGGGATTTTACCCGGGACAATTAACACAGCGCCGTCTAGTTTCACGGTAAGCAGAGCTTGTAAAATTGACATCCAGACCGATACAAACAGTCATAGTCATGAATACAAATGTATGCATCGTGCGAGAAATCGAAACCGCGACCAGCAGAAGTAAGGCGGTGTAATAAATCACTCAACAATTTTCAAGAATCACACAAAAGTTCAAGAATTAAAAAAAATCGTGAATATTTTCGGATCTTGTTTTGTATTTGAACCGTTTGCGTGTGCGTCAGGTGCGCGAGTGCGTGGAGCAGGCGTCGACGCCGATGGACGGCGCGGGGCTGGCGGAGGCGCTGCACGCGCGCGGCATCAACCTGCGGTACCTGGGCCGCGTGGCCGCCGCGCTGCAGCCGCACCCCTCGCTCGGGTACCTGCACGCCATCGCCGTCGGAGAGCTGCTGCTGCGCGCCGCCAAGCACGTCTACACCGTCTACCTACAGGTATGACTGGCGCTCTACTCACTTAGTTCTATGTGTATGTCTCGTTAAACTAAATTTGAGAAAGTTACATTGTTCTTTGATTATATCTGTAAGGTTTTCAATTTGATTGCAATATTTTGAAGTGTATATAGTGAAGTGATTTTCATATTAGCAATATTTTTTTGTCAACGTAATCCGATGTCGTCTGTTTTTTTAATAAAGCATATAAATATGTATGTTGAAGTAATAATAAAGAAAACTACAGTTAGACTACAAAATCGTTAATTTAAATGTGTAAAAATATTTTGTAGCGATGAGCAACAACGCTCCACCAATGGCCATAACACACAGGTCAGAACCTTGCGGTTACTGTTACGGTACCGGCCGAATACGGAGCATAAAAAGTACTCTCTCTTCTTTTGATCCCTACAAATTATCTTCTACTCCCCGTCTGTGCGCTTTCTCCTCCTTCTGGGGCAGCGGACGAAACATTTTCTTTCTTGAACACGTGGCACTATCAGACCTCTCGAACTCGGTTCACTTCCGGTGCCACTGTTGCGCGACCTCCTAAAATTTTCCTCAGAAGATGAGTAGTGTGTATCGGAGGCGTGAGCGTAACGGTGTGGGCGTGTGGTGCAGGGCTGCGAGGCGCTGTGCGTGGGCGCGGCCGTGGCGCACTTCCTGAACTGCCTGGTGGGCGCGTGCGCGGCGGCGGGCGCGGGCGCGGCGGACGTGCCGGCGGCGGCGCGGGCGGCGGGCGGGGGGCGCGGGGCGCGGGCCCGGCGCGCGCGCCGCCACCACGCCGCCGCCGCGCCCGCCGCCGCCGCGCCGCCCGCCGCCGCCCGCGCCGCACCCGACTGGCGGAACCTCACGCACAAGTCTCTCTTCTCGCAGATCCGCCAGGAACTCAAGGTCGGTGACACGCACGACGCGGATCACTCCACGGAGTACTACGACCATCACATTATTATATAATATATGATTCATGTATTGCCATTCCAGAAGACTAAGATGTCATGCCTCTTATGTTAATGCATGCTTGTTATTTTTACTGCTTAAGCCCATCCTGTAACGGAAATAGCAAAGTGAGCTGGTTGGCGGCTGAAGTGAGTGAGACTGAGATACTCACGATGTCTTCTTCTACAGGCCACTATCAGCCATTATATCGAATCTTAAAACTTTATTTTTATTTAATTAATATTTTTAATGATCGAATCAGAAATGAGGAGATCCGCAGAAGAACCAGAGTGACCGACATAGCCCGAAGAATTGCGACTTTGAAGTGGCAATGGGCAGGGCACATAGCTCGTAGGACAGATGGCCGTTGGGGCAGTAAAGTCCTCGAGTGGCGACCACGGACCGGAAGACGCAGCGTGGGAAGGCCTCCAGCAAGGTGGACCGACGATCTGGTCAAGATCGCTGGAAGGCATTGGATGCGAGCAGCGCAGGACCGATCGTCGTGGAGATCTTTGGGGGAGGCCTATGTCCAGCAGTGGACGTCTTCCGGGCTGCGATGATGATGATGAATATTTTTAATACATGACAATTAAAAGTTATACATAAACATAATATTATTATAAACGGAATCTAAATCAACTATCTTTATTTAGGCATACTGGGGTTATGAACTGAATGCTGAAAATATGGATGCTGTTATAGAAAAACATGGCCTTCAGAAAATATCACTTCTCAGGTATATCAACAACTTTTTATAAAATTTTGTATGAGAATATTTTATTTTACATTTTATTAGAGTTATAAATTATATTTTAAATTAAAACAAACTTGCTTTACATTCCAGGTCCTTCGCACTTAAAGTGGGTTTGCAGATAATGTTGCGAGAGTATGATTTCGACAATAAAAACAAACCTACATTTAATGGATCTGATGTTATGAATATTTTCCCTGTTGTTAAACATATCAATCCCAGGGTAAGTGAAAAGCCTTAGATTCAAACTTCATTAGCAACTTATAATAGAGAATTTAAAATTTCTCTACGACGCTAAACATAGGAAATGTTGTGGACAGTACAGATAAAGAAGTTAATAAAAGTGGTGTTGTATTAAAATAAAACATTTTTAATAATGTTTAATAAAACTGGTATTGCATTAAAATAAAACATTTTCAATAATGTTTAGGCTTCAGACGCGTACAACTTCTACACCACCGGTCAGAACAAAATACAAGCAGGCGCGGTGAACGAAGGTCACGAAATGATCGCGGAAGCTCTCAATTTGCTGAACAATGTGTATGGGGCCATGCACGGCGAGATTGCTCGCTGTCTGAGAATGGTTGCCCGCCTGTGCTACGTCACCGGCGAACACCGCGAGGCAATGGCCTACCAGCAGAAGGCAGTCCTCATGTCCGAAAGGGTCAACGGCATCGACCACCCTTATACAATCACTGAATATGTAAGTTGTTACATTCTAGGCAGTTTAACCTCCATATTGCTTATCTTCATAGGTATTGCTTAAAAAATTTACATTCTTTTAAAAGTTTATATATGATTATATAATTTTTTATTGTTTATGCACTGGAAAGTGCAAAATTATCTCTAGATAATGTTGTGTTGCATATAATAATCAATTTCTACAATTTTTTTCTAGTCCCATCTTGCGCTGTACTGCTTCGTAAATGGCCAAGTGAGCACAGCGTTGAAACTGTTATATCGCGCACGTTACTTGGCATTACTTGTCTGCGGTGAAAATCACCCTGAGATGGCGTTGCTCGATGTAAGTTGTCTATGGTTATTATTACAGTTTAAGAAATATTATAAAAAAATATGTACATCTAGATTAACTACCGCACTCAAGATATGTTAAATGGTTACATAAGCAATTCTTGTGCAGACTAATGGTTGATTAGTAAAAGATATTGCCAATTAACTTTAATAACAGGCCAACAGCTACTTAAGTGCCTAACCATAGATTTTGACGTACGTTTTCAGGTTATTTTTAATTGGACTCGTTCTTTACTTTGCTATAAATGAATTATAAAAATTATTTATTATAACTACAAATTTCATAAATATATTGTACCGATGATGATAATTTTAAAGAAATTTACAAGCAACTGTCACTCATTCAAGATTTAATGATACTTAAATAAATATTCATTAGTGATAATTTAAGGAACGTCTCTGAGTGCGGCTGTAAAACATTATTTTATTGAGGATTTTTTACACTACTGATAATTTTGTTTTTATTCCCGATATTATATTGTCAAAAATTTGATTGATGCTTAATTGACAAGAGACATTTTAAACTCGTTTAAATGTTTTTATCGAGTTTAGTTAGAACTAAACGCCATTAGTTTCCTTGTTGAAATTGGGCCTTAGTGAACGTATAATATTTCGCTGAGTATTTTTAAATCTAATTTGGCAGAATAAAAGTATATTTTCGTTTATAAGAAATTATTGGTTTACTTTTTTCTTCACTGGAGAGTCATATAAAACGACAGACACAGTTTTTACTTGTGTGAACTCGAGACCTTTGGATCGTGAGTCGGGATAAAGACTCAGGGTTCACTCGGGCGTGGGACGTGGGTGTGTATATAACGGCGGTGTGCGCAGAGCAACATCGCGCTGATCCTGCACGCGGTGGGCGAGTACGAGCTGTCGCTGCGGTTCGCGGAGCGCGCGCTGGCCGTGACGGCGCGGGCGCACGGCGCGCGCTCGCTGAAGGCCGCCACCTCGCGACACCTGCTCGCGCGCACGCTCTCCTGCCTCGGGGACTTCCGCGCCGCGCTCGCCCACGAGAAGGAGACCTACTCCATCTACAAGCAGCTGGTGCGTCCTCGCATACACACCATACCGTATGCTACGTATATACACTGCCTTAGCTTTTCGACCTGTTCGTTACAGTTACGTTTATGTTTATATATTATCGTAGACTATATCAGGAGACTGGTAGGAAAGAGAAAACGTATTTATTTAAATAGAAAGTAAAAGAATATTTTCGAAAATTCTGAATAGACTTCGATAATTTTTTTAGTTGTCGGTTGGATTTACTTCCGTAAATTGTGTAACAGAATGTATTTTGATATTATTTATGTACATAATAGACTATACTCTATAATAATAGCATATATCGTCATAGTCGTAGAATACTGACGGATCTGTCTATTAATTTAATAGTCAGATCCGTCAGTATTCTACGACTATGACGATATATATATTTTAAATGTAACTGCACTAAAAAATGTGTCGTGTGAAACTGCTCATTACATTTTTTATTATTCACATTCGGTTATTTCTTTTGTGTAGCACGAATTCGCGCATGCATAAAGTTCGTAACAGCACAAAGACGTATTTAGCAAAGTATATCTTTTCTATATTGTTGGTATATGTTGGACAGTTGGGTGAGAGCCACGAGAAGACTCGCGAGTCGTCGGAGTGCCTGCGGCACCTGACGCAGCAGGCGGTGGTGCTCCAGAAGCGGCTGGCGGAGGCGTACGCCCGCTCCCCGCACGCCGCGCCCGCGCACGCGCCGCTGCACATACAGCCGCCCGGGATGGCCTCCGTCATCGATATGCTCAACCTCATCAACGGCATCCTCTTCGTGCAGATCAGGTAACTGTTCGTAACGCTTATTTATGTTATCGCTACATTATCTAATATATATAAAAATGTCACAGTGTTGTAATGATATATGTAGATCGATTTTGTTTCCAATATTTACAAAATAAATAAGCATAGACAAGAATAAGAAAGAAAAACGTAACTAGTTGGTAACAGCTGTTGCTGCTATAAACATAACGTTAGTAAGATGCACACAGCGCTGGTTTTCAGACATCCCCATTACTGAAGTATCCGTCGCCTATATATGTACAGCACAGATATATCGTCATCATATGACGCCCATAGCGCCCCTTATGCATTACTATTCCGGGCAACTAGGATATGATGCTGCCATGTCTCATTCGTAGGAAGTTCTGCAAGCTGTCTTGTTAACAGGGTAAGAAATAGCAGTGAAATTACAGGATTAGAAAGGGAAAAAATACACTTGTTACTATTACCAGTGGCAATCCGTGAGGAAGTAGCCATTATTATTGCTAAAAGTTGCATATAGATGGCGTGATTGGTATCGATGGAATTCTTCATAGTTTTGCAAACGTTTTAAAAAACAAAACTGTGTTTACAAAAATGTTTAATCAATTTTTAAAAAGTTATATATACATGTTAAAATGAAATAATGCGTTTAGAAAAGTAATTTTCATATATTTACTCATTTTGTTATTTTCCAGTACTTAATTAATTTAATCAGTGGTAATACGGGGCTCAATGTTTTCAAAATGCTTTCATAGATAGCATTGTTGTCATTTGTATCCGCCTAATTAAATGTCTTTTTTATATTTTCCAATAATAAGCACTTAATATATCATTATTGTAAATTAAACATATAAAAAATTTTTAAGTAAATTAAAAATAGCCGAACAAGCAAGTAATAATATTTCCAATAATACTTATGTATGAAGTGTTGTCATATTAAAAATAAATACATGTATTATCGATTTTTTTGAATAATCGATAACAGGATTTTATTACAGCGCATTATTCGATGATGCTTTTAATGAGTCGTTGTGAACAGTAAATTTTCATTATTTTGTATTATAGCAGTGTTCCGTTTCAAAGAACGGAATATAGTAGTACATTATTAGTGTCGTTGGTTATTTACATTTGTACTAAAAATCGATTACATAATAATTTAAAATATCGAGTACGAATCGTAGTTGTCTTTGAATACTGGCAAGATTAAAATAGTATTTAAAAAAAGAGAGAAATCGACCCTAACTCGAATACCATAAAGTTGATTTTCCTTTCTCATTAATATCATAGCAGTTTGTTTTTAACTTGCGTATGACTGTGGTATGATGTTTAACGTGTATTGTTATTGTACATTACAAAAATTATATTTTAATGTAGGTACATACATTTCTTTCATACATTTCATACATATCAAAAATTATCTTTTAATGTAGGTACATACATTTCTTTCATACATTTCATACATTTAAAAAATGAACTTTTTATGTAGGTACATACATTTCTTTCATACATCAAAGATATTATTATTGTAGATATCGAAAGTTATGTATACAAGTAATTCTGAATATTATCAAGTTCAAAATATGCACACATTACTGGCTTAGATAATAGAGTAATATTACTTGTAATAAAAACATTTGTGACACCCATATGTATACATATTACATAGTAAGTACTTACGCCCGTGCCGTGAGACTCATCTAAGCGTACAGCGCATGCGCGTCGTGCGGTAACCGCACCGACGGACCAATAGGAGCGCGCCTCTCGCGCATCCAGAAAGTTCGCGACTAATGGACGGTATAGTAGTAAAGCAATGAGTGTTCCAGTGACATCATTATAATATTTTCTCGTTAAGTTTTATTGTAATATACATAATTTCGTACTAAGTAACGTGGTCCCCCGTTACACATTTCTAACGTGTAACGGGCGTGAAAGCGAGACAAACAGACAGAGTTACTTTAGCATTTATAATATTTGTAAGAATATCGCTATTAAAAATAGGGGTTGGTGAAAGACGGGCCAAAATTTAGGCGTGTATGTAACATTATAAATAAATAAAAAATTGTCCATAATACAAAAAAAAAAAATTATAATTCAGGGTAGGCCACCCCTATGACTTAGGGGTATAAAAAATAGATAACAACCCTACCTCAGACCTAGCAAGTATACATATCAAATTTCATCAAAATGTGGGAGAAATATAGCAACTAACACTGTGATACGAAGTTTATATATAAGATATAGCGGAATTCTCCTTAGGGAAAAGAGGGGTGGTACATCGTAGAATACATGAGGTATATACCAGTAAATTCATTGTAGCTAAAACCAGTCTCTTACACATAACGATTGAAATAAAAAATCATATAGCCCGATGTTGATACGTACGAGTATAAACGTATCAAAATCGGGCTATACGTATAGCGCAGACGCGTTACAACATATCTTCGTCGAGAGAAAAAAATAGGCATGGAATGTAGAATAAACTATAACATAATATATACATTGGCACATAAGCCATATCTGCAGGGTATCGGCTAACGATATTATACCTACACATTTACATTGAATCTTGAATCGTCCCTAATGAGGTACACGATACAGTTACCTACATATCTTGTATATACCTATCTTTGCAAAACAGATGTCATGTAGACTGAATTGACTGCCATCTATTTTCGTGCTTTGTTACTAAGCACCCACTAGTAATCCGAACTGCTTCAGATCTAGAGACATCTAGCGGCTACGGCGGCGAAATAAAATAGCCCGAAGAATAGCCCGAGTTAGGAAGGAACCATTTTCTTGTATGGGATGGGGTATCTGTATGTAATATTATGTTATCTGTGCTATTACTTAATATGTCTGTATAACTAAAATATGTTTAAATCTATGACAGTCGCCACGACATCGAGCAGTTCAAGGCAGAAATAGAAAAAAGACAGCTAAAAGATTTACCACTACCGGACGTTCTGAACGAGCTGAGCGTGAAGGGCGTGGTCGAGAGCGCGGCCGAGGAGGACGAGGCGGCTGAAGAGGCGCCGCCGCAAACGGAGAGTTGAAACGTCGGCGAGCAGCTCGGGACTCGTTCGTCTCTGGACTATGTTTAGTGATAGCAAGCGAGTCGGCTCGTCCGCCGAGCGACGGAGCGATCGCAGCGAACGTACGGTCCACTAGTATTGGACGCGTACATTGTTACTTCATAGTTATTGATTGATGATATTGTTCCTTATATTATGAATGTATGCAGTAGTGGATAGTGTGCTAAGGTTTGATGTAGATTTTTTGTTAGTTAAATTTTGAGAATATTATTATTTTCATCAAATAATTAAATGTTTAAATTTTAATGAATTCTCGCTGTGCAATAGATTTTATTTATGCATGTGCATATATTACTATATTTCGCTCAAATCACGCAGATATAAGTTTAATTTTATGCTCCCGTATGAAATTCACAATTGTATGGTAATTCAAAGTAGTGCAATTTCAAAGTAGTGATAATAGCAATAAGTTTTGGTTGTGAACCTGTGGGCGCGCGTGTCGCTATGTTAATGGTACTGGTGCTACTGCCAACTTGTCCTACGTATAATGATTTTATGATTGTTAGCTTCGAGTATTATCTTTTTTTAGCGTGGGAGTATATTTGTTGAAATATCCATAGACGTAGATATTCAGTTATATTGTAATTGAAATGTAACAGGGTTTCGGAAATCCTCAGCTAGTAACTAACATATAATCAAATAACTTATCTATATGCACGCCAGATCCGTCAGTCGGTAGGCAGGTGATTCAACAATATATGCACATAAGATTTAATTGAACAATTTTAATACTTACAGTCAGTTAATTACAAACACTGCCCTTATTTTAGTTTCAGATTTTAGTATTTAGTGCCATATAATGTAGTGAATGTAAGTTCTTTGTGTAATATTTTTGTTAGTCTGTGATATACAATGTTTTATCAATTTATCATCGAGCTACTTGCCTTGTATGTGCGGTAGATAGACCTTTGTAATGGTAAACTATGAAAACGCTTTAAAAAATCTATTATTCTAGTAACTAAGATTCTGACTTAAATTATTATCAGAAAGTTCTAATCATCGATCACCTTTCTAAAATTTGTTTAAAACATCTTATATAAAATCCATTTGTTAATCATTGATAATATTAATATTTATACATCAAATGCATGTGTGATGGTATGCTTACTTTTTAACAGTACTAGTCAGCTATCTATATACAAATATTCTTGTTAAGTTCTTCGAAAAAAAACTGTATTTTCTTCTTTCACATTTTTCATATTTTCTTGGACTTTTCGTAATTATTTCATATCAGTAGATAAATGTACTGCCTTGGCTGGATTAAATCGGAATGTGCCTTAATTACATTGTGTTGTGTTTATATACATATGAACTTTGTTATGAAGTTAATTTATTATTATTCAATATAACGGAAGTAAGCATCGCCATTCGCAAATTGACTTACTCGTCATTGCTCTGTTAATTATTTCATTATTTGTTATTCTCAGTTCAGTATGTTCGTCATATTTTTTGCATAGCATTCTAAATACTATTTTATTAAATTGCTTATATTTCTTAGTTTACTAGTTTCTTAGCTTTTCGTCTACATTGCCTTTTGTTTTTGTTTTGGGGCGGATCTAAGCATTTAAATAGTGTTATTACGTTCTTATTTGACGTCTTAGTTTAGCATTTTTATTTTTTTCTACAAATTATAATGTATTGTCCATATTCAGTATATAACCTTTATTTACATTTTTAAATGCATTTAAAATCTTAGTTTAGCAATATATACTCAACGATAATTCTTAAAGGCGTTCGATTTTACTCGACTAATGGAGGTTATTATATTGTCAAATATTGTATACAGTATATAATTATTTGTATTTTTGAATCATAACTACATAATAAACTATTCCTGACTTAAAGTAATGGAAGATTCTGTTACGTATCGCAAACAAAATGTTTTATTATTATTTGAAAATATTAGCTCATTAGTTAATTAATTTAAACATAATAATTAATAATTTACTTATTACATTTATTGTAATTTTAATATTACCAACTTTTAGTTGTTTGATATTTAGATTTAATAGTTGTTATAATAAAAACATAGCTTGATCACAAGCTTTGATCCAATATTTGAAAATATAACTATCCCAAGTCAATAACTTCATAAAATAACCATCACACACTTTCTAGATAATATTATATATATATATTTTTTTTTTCAATTACTGTAATGACGGCAAATATTTTAAATTCATTAACAAATACAAATTTGGATGTATCTTACAATTATAATGTTAGTAACTCAACAGTCACAGTGTTTTTTCCTTTCTGCTAACTAGAAAAAATTACATTTTAAAAGTACTTACTCAAGTTATATAAGGAATCACAAGGTATCTTATGTATTTGATCGAATGAACAGAAATAAATGAGTCAAGAATGAATGGTGTAAATGTTATACTTTATAGGATTTACAATTAATGACGAACCAATAAAAAAATTAGGATGAGATTACAATGAATAATGTAGAATGAACGAGGCAATGACGCAGTAAACTACTAAAGGTCTATTATGACGTGCAAATTAACAAGTTACAAGTTATTACGATTGTATCTGTATCATACTGGTTTTTATGTATTGATTACCTAGGCCGCTTTATATATAGATATAACTATTATTGTCATAGAAAAACTCCACGTACCAACCATACATGTTAGATCGCAATTTATTGTTAGTTACATCATATTGTAAAAATCAGAATGGCTATTATTTAGCTTTACTCGTTACCTGTCACGATTTTAAAAATCTAAGTATAAAGTCAAGCGTGATTTACCAACACAGTGTTTCAGTCTCCAATAGCGATATCGAGAGTTGTACGATGAAGTATGTGCCTAAGCAAACAATAATCATGTTATCATGTTGTTGTTGTTGTTGTTACATTTCTTTAACAATATGACGACCATGTAAATACGGCGCTGTTCGTAGTATACTAATAAAAATCGTTTTTAAATCCTGTTTTATTTTATTATTAGTACTTTATATATAAGTTTACCTCAAGGGTCTAAGAATAGACGATACAAACGTGTGTACCTATTTGCATAGTGCAAATGACTATAATTCAAGGAATTTATGCCGTATACTACCTGCTGCTTACTTGTAGGCCATGGATCGGCAATCCTTGACTTACGTTATTTACATAATGTTCTTTACCAAGTCCATCAGTAACATGGTATGATTGAAGCCTTGTATTTAATAAGTATCCAAAAGCGAATATTGGAAAAACTAAAATGAATGTTAAGGAAATCGGAATAACCATATGAAATTGGTGTACATAACTCAGTCTTGGGTGTGAAACAGTGTAAAAAATTACTAGTTTTCTTTTCAAAAAATTTTCATAATATGCATAAATATAATACATTTAATAATCGTCAAAATGAACAGGTGATAGTAAAATAAAAAATAAAAAGAAATTTCGAAATTAATGTATGTCAAGATCATGATAAAAAAAAATAGGTATAATTTGTTTTAATCAAACCGACATGTTAAGCGCCTAAGCTAAAACTAGTTTGTAACATTTTGTGGCTGTTCCTCACCAATTAAGAATCGGGATATAGGATTACTAGCAATGCGCTCGAGCAAGTCGACCACTAAGTGTCTCATAGAAATTATGGCGATTAAATCTAACCGCCTATCTGCATTACTCCACAAATGCAAGTTATCATGTCTTGATAACTTTTAAAAATAGTTAAAAATATCTTTTTACTATAATTATTAATAATGTATGCTATTTACATTTTCTGTTATCTAGATTTCAAAAACTGATAAACCTTATCAGTTTTTGAGCTAACAATTAATAAATTTTAGTGTTGGATTATTCTTAACTAGGATAAATCAACACTTCTTAAAACACAAAACAACACTAAAAACTTCGCTGATAATGTAATAAAGACATAACACCCATATTGCTATACTCTGTGTAATTATTTCACATGACATTGATATCCACTCTGATCCACTGAGTGGCTGTATGGGCTGAGTCCTTTTGCCTTTCTCTGAAAAGGGAAAAACCGAACAAAAAATATATCAATTTTTTTAGTTCTGTTTACCTTTTATCGGAAAGGCATATCACTAAGAATTGATTGACGGATTGACGTTAGACCTCTAAAAATCCAACTGAAATACCTATGCTTATTAGCGTAAAAATCATCGTATCAACAAATTTATAAAACTATAAATAATATTTTGATTATAGAATAATAATATTGTAAATAAAGTATTTTAGGAGTCTGGCGTAGTGTAGTGTGGTCTAATTAATAAAGTAGTATTGCCCTAAATACAGTTTAATGTTTTAATTTTCTAAATATACCGTGAAGAGAACTAATGTTTTCTATACCATTCTTATAGAATGTAATTTTTGTCTATAAAAAATATGCCCGTGGAATTAAATAGCTTAACAGAAGGGTGGTTAGAATTAGAGAGTGACCCTGGACTTTTCACGTTGTTGCTAGAAGACTTCGGAGTCAAAGGTGTACAAGTTGAAGAAATTTATGATCTGCACAAACCATTGGAAAGTCCAGTTTACGGATTCATATTTCTATTCAGATGGATAGAAGAACGAAGGTCTCGACGAAAGTTTGTAGATCAGATAGAAAGTTTCGTGCGCGACGAAGAAACTATAAACAACATATTCTTTGCTCAACAAATGGTCCCAAATAGTTGTGCCACTCATGCCTTACTTTCGATTTTATTGAACTGCCCTAATCTCCATCTTGGAGAAACATTAAGTAGATTAAAGGTAAGATTTTAAATTAATTCTCAACTTATCTTCTATTTTATAACTTTACCATTCACTTAGCTATTAATTAGCTTTTGGAACTATTTATAACATACATGCTGCCATTTAGGCGGTACAATTTAAATTCTGAATTAAGATAACATATACTATGTAGAATCTTATGTTATAGCATCATACCTTAGGTATGAATCCAGAGAACAAAGGATGGGCAATTGGAAATACACCAGAATTGGCTTGTGCTCATAACTCTCATGCTATTCCACAAGCAAGAAAAAAGACAGATAAGAATGCTGGTGTATCTACAGGACGCTTCACAGGTTTGCATACTATATATTAGATTTCAAATTGTTCCTAAAAGTTATATTATTAAGGAACCAATTAAAAGAATCAAACTTTATTCCTATCTTGTTTCAGGAGAAGCATATCATTTTGTTAGTTTTGTACCTATAAATGGTCATTTGTTTGAGCTAGATGGCCTTAAGCCTTATCCAACTGACCATGGGCCATGGGCTGCAGATGAAGATTGGACTGATAAATTTCGTAGAGTTATGGCAGAGAGACTGGGCCGAGATGCTGGTGAACAAGTTCATGATATCAGGTACAATCATATTGATATCTATTCATACTATTAGAATTTACTACACCAAGTTACCAGTTTAGTCAGCAATATAAGTTCTATCTACTCATTTCACTTGTTGTGTGTATATGTGTGACATATCCTATAATGTGAAAGTTAGTCTCATTTATATACAAACTCGTTACTGATACTTATAAATTAAAATATAAAATAATAACAAGGGTGGGCTTATTGCATCCAGCCAACCAACCCAACAGACAAATTAAAAAATAAATTCAGTTTAATTTTTAATTGTAATTACAAAAGTTTCAACTTACTAGTAAGTAAACTGGTATTGTATGTCTAAATCTGCACCATCAATTATCATGCTCATCATATTAAGCTATAGTAATTTACAAGTACTTTTAAGAAAAGCTATTTTTACATTTTTTTCAGATTTAACTTGATGGCTGTGGTACCTGATAGAAGAATTGCCTTAACACAAAAACTAAGTGCTTTAGAATTAAATCAAAAGAGAGTAAAGGAAGCCATATCAAAAATAGGGAAACATCTACGACATTTATTAGCAAAAAATAGAGAATATAATGGTGTGTAGTTGCAATATGCTCTAATATTATATATCAGTAAATCCTGAGTAAATAGGATTTAGGGTACTTAATTAATGATGAATAATTTATATGAAATGTATGTATAGTAGGGAATATTGCATGGAGTACTATTCTTTGATGTATGTTGTGTTCACTTGCCTGCCTGATATATCTGTAACTCTCAACATATGCAATTAATATAATCAGCTTTAGTTTCGTTTCATATATTTTAACAAATATTCTTTTATGGCATTCACTACATCAAGGTGTTTTATCAAAAGTTTAGTGTGAATAAGTAATAACTACTTACTGTTCCAGAACAAGGGGAATTGGTACAAAGCACCAATGAAAGGCCTGTTATGAATGATAACCTTGGACAGATCAGTGAAGAAAACATTCTCTGTTCTCTAGAATCAGCTCAAGTGCAGGTATATGATATGGATTATACTCTCCCTATTACAATTGAAATTGGTGCCACTGATAGACCACAGCAAGATAATAGCATTATTTTAGGTAAGGAAAAATATACATAGCCAGGACTGCCAATACAGACATATTGCATAACTTAACATAGTTTACATTATTTTGTCGACTTTACATTTAGATATTATTTTTTATTGTTTTAGCTACTCCTGTTGAACAAAGTGTTGTTGTGCGATTTTTTACAATAAACAGAGAAAACCAGATTGTTGGTGATGTATGTTTCAACATTTTTTTTTATTAAATATACCATTCATTACTTTCAAGAAAAAGTACTTGTATAAAATTGAAATTTATGTTTAAATTTCTAACAAAACTTATAATATGTTTCAATTAAACCAATTTCTATTTCACAAATGCTAAATAAATTTTGTTTTATTTTCAGATATACCCAACGTCCACATCAGCTTTAGTGAAAAGCAATGATCTGCCAATACTCATGGGGTGTGAGAGTACTCCCGACCAGCCTTATAAACTGAAGAAATTGTTACTCACACATACTGAACTAAATGCCCTGATGAGCAGTATCGTCAGCGAAGTACAGTCGTGTCAGCAGGCTCTGAACGACGAAAACGATAAGAGGGATATGTATAAAGTAAGAAAAGATATATTAATATTTAAAAATGCGTGTAATGATGATATGGAGTAGTCATATGCAGCAGGCTTTATTTACGAAGTTTTTGTAAATTACTACTACTAACACTACTATTAACAAATGAATGTGTTTGCATTTGTTATTTTAACAGGTTAAAATAACTTAAATATGACATTTCAATGAAATTTATCACTGTTAACTTATGTATATTTATTTATATATCAGAGAAGATTTTTAACTTGTCTCGACTTATGAAGTAAATAGTTTTTAGCAGTCTAAACGTCTACGCGTCTAAAGTCTCTATGACTTATATAGAAAAGAAGGATTCCTTTTTAATTTTACATTATATGGGTGTGAACGCTTCAGGTTGACGACTGCCGGCGGACCCACAACTACGACGAGTTCATATGCACGTTTCTGTCGATGCTTGCCGAGCGGGGAGCCCTGGCCGAGCTGGTCACTGCGCAGCTGGAACGAGGCCGCGCAGCTCGCGTGCGGCGACGCCGGCCGCGGCCCAGGCCCCGCGCTCGGCCCAGGCCCAGGCCACGAGCGAGGAAGTGATCTAACAACTGTGTATTTAGTGTAGTAGTTTATACTACAATTTCTTTACAATCGTTCATATATAAAGTCTCCGTATTCCTAATACTTTTTTTATATTTTCTACTTACCTATATACATAATAAAAATATAACTACAACATGTATTCACAGTACATATTATTATTATTATTATTATATAAAAAAAAACATCACCTTTGATTTTCAGCAATCAGTTTCTCTCTGATACTCGTAGTGGTAATACCAAGCCAATAGCTAAGTAGAATACTCAATAAACTGTTTACTTTCTTAAACATTTATTGGATTTATGCCATCATTAAAACAAAATGATAACTGATTGTAGTTAATTTCATTTTATCAAATAGACGAAATATTTCTCCACTGACTCATATACCAATTGTACATTCACTTATATATTATATACTATTTTGAGCTTTTTAGGGTTCCTAACAATAATAGTAATAAAGTAACTAATAGTGGTTAGTGTTGCCTAGATTCTACTATTGAATCTATTTATGAGAAAGGGTTATCCTAGCTGTATTGCATTCAACTTTAGAAAGTTCAGTATCCTCAAGCCATTATATGTTAAGACATTACAGCGAGTATACTTGAATGAAATACTCGGAATAATAGTATTAGTTTTTTTTATTGCTACTAGGTATAAGACGGAGAAAGATAGTAAGAGACTCCTTTTACTCAACAACATTTATTTTATATGTACACTATTAACATTCAATTATTTTGTACAATGTACAAATAATAAATGCACAACTTCAGCATCGTAAAATTCTAAGTGATAACTTGCAGGCACGCACTCTATTATGATCGTTACTTTTCAGTTATATTTAAGTTATCTTAAGCACACATAAATATTTCGATATGTTACATTAAAGTTTGGTCCCACATTTTATTACTAGAAAGCTCGTTTTTATTTTTAAAAGTATTCTTAGAGATGTATTGCTTTTTTTTCAGTAGGTATTTAAGTACTTATACGTAGGTACCTGTATATTTTTAGGCCAATCAAACACAACAGGACGCCAAACATGATATATCAATTAAGTATCTCACATACATGCACGGAGATCCGCAATCAAAATTACAAAATTAAGCATTTGTATAAGTCGATAATACATTAATGATATATGAAATGTAATTCATACCGTATTATATTCTATAGTCGTATGGATTAAAGTTACAGTTGCTTAGGTGTTCATAACTTCAGTTATGTGTGATTATTATGTTTGTTGATTATATTGTATGTTTAGAATACCATATTTTATACTTATATTTGTTTTAGTCTTAATTTGTTTACAAAATGTCTTGATAATTACAAAACTATGCACGTCTAAAATTCTAGTCGATATCGGAATGTCTTCAAGTTGTGCAATCAGAATATGTACAAATTACAAATTATTATGCATGCTTATTGTAGAATATAGAAAACTGACAATTATATAAAACACAGACTATGTTGTTTGCTGTCTTTGCATAAACGTTATTCGAAGACTAGAAACAAAAAACTGAACGGAAATGGTGTTATGTTATCAATACGTCTTGTAATATGACTATGCCCGCTTTAATTACTCATCCACAGATAATCTGTTATATCAAGTCAGTCACAAATTATTTATACAATACGCTTTCAATACATAAATAGTTTCGTAACAATCGTTATGAATCTTGTCAAAGTTGTTTGCAAATGTCACAAATACCTACTCGTGAACCTATTCAGTAAAGTGTATTGGTGTAAGATAGTGTTAACGTTGCTACTATAGTGACGATAACATACATCTAATAAGAATGGCACAGTGCTACTACTGAATTTAAACATTGCCGATCATTAGTAAAACTTACATCTGATTCTTGGACATAAAAATATTGGAAGAGCTTTAATTTGAAACTTAAACACTATGCACATAGTAATATCAAAATTATTTTATAAAATTTTAACGTTATGTACAGTAGGCAGGTAGATATATTAAGTAACTAATTACAACTTTCATAATATCACATAAGTACACATCGCTTCTAGGTCCATCGAAATACCTACTAAATTAAATTAATCGTTTCATGCGTGGATATGTCCGTACAATAAAAATATAATACCGTTACACTCGTCGAAATATCAACGACGTATTTGCTCAGTGAAGTAATATATTAAGTCCGATTAATTATTTTACTCTCATCACATGAAACAGCAGTCTATTTAAGGTAACACAGATTTTGGGCTGAGATTTCATCTAATAGTATGTATAGGGTTGTATGGGGGTGGAGGGGTTTTGGGGACTTGGGATCTGTGTACAGGAACTATACCTATGTGGGGCACATGTGGAGGATGGGCGGATGGTGGGAGCGCGTCTTCAGGCTGCCCCGGGATGACCGACGTGTCGGTGAGATGTGGCAGGTCGTGGCGTGCGCTGCTTGTAGCCTGCAGCAACCTGGCCGGGTTTAGTTTTATCGCATCGTCATAGGTTGGTGGTGCTCCAGCTACTGTATCATAATCCGGCGGTTTCTGTTGCATTGTTTCTTCATCTGGCATTGAGATCACGTGGATAGGATCGTCAATCTGTAATAATAGTTATAAAAATAGTTATGAGTTCACCATATTGTAGAATTCATCATGAAGTAGTAAACAAATAGAAGTGCAAAACACTATGACAATACTTTTTTTTAACGTTTATGACATGGCTTGTTGAAATGAATGAACACAGATTGTTTGACGACACAATTGTTTAAATATTGTAAGGTCATATCGTAAAACAGTTTTATTATACACCGCTAGCGGTGCCAATCGCGCGTTATTTACTTGCGTGCTGACATACTATACACACGATACAAAATGGCTCCGGTAAACAACGTCCGTACGTTATGCTAATACATTATCATATATTATATTACTATCTGTGCCCGCGGTTTCACCCGCATGATTTTTTTAGCCTAGGTGTTATTCTGATGTATAATCAATACATCTGTAAAGTTTCATCAAAATCCGTTCAGTAGTTTTTGCGTGAAAGGGTAACAGACATTCATCCATTTATCAATCCATATCCACAAACTTTCGCATATATGATATTAGTATGTACATATCTTAATTTGCTTCTTAAGATTTATTTAGAGCTATATCTGTATTGTTAGAAGGCATAACTTTTGTAGTGAATTTTAGTTAATTGAGATGGTGATTGGTGATGTAGGGCAAAACGAACATGTTCCTGAGTGAAGTACCAATAGCAATTTGTAAATTCAATTTAAAGTTGAAGATTATAGTTTTAGTATAAAAAATAAAAGAAATCTAACCTGATGTGTATCAGGTGAAGTCCGGTCATTCTGCGGCTGCCTCGCCGGCGACTGCAGCCAGCAGCACATTGCAGCGCATATGAGTAGTGCGCCAGCAACTATACACGCGACGCCCACGTAGCGCACGGGCTCTGCGTAGTCTTCAGCCAGGCCCAGCCAGTTGATGAGCGCACCCGCGCATAGCAACACCATGCCATATCTGTACGGCCTCTGTGATTGTCTACCCTCGTCTAGGGACATCCCTGAGAACAAACAAAAATAATCTTTATTTCCATTGAAAAAATAGTCTCATTAAGACCTATTTAAAAATAACAATATTTGTCAATACATTATCTTTACATAGTATAAAACAAAAGCCGTTGTTTGTACACTTATATATTTTAAACACTTACGCAATTTTAATGCAGTGTTCAACAATCGATAGTGATTCAAGAGGAAGTTTTATACCTATGTATAATTAATGTGACCATTTATTCTTCGACTCAAAACGGGACACAATTAACAGACAGCCAATGAAAAAAACTCTTTTTTAAAATTATCTATTCAAAAAAAGTTATCAATTAAGAAATATATCCGATAAATATAATTAAACATTTTGTTTATTCATAGATAGTTTATATTTATCCGATAAAAATAAAATGTTTTGTTATCGGAGGAACAAATTTGACTTTTTAAGAAGTATTTAAGTAAGAATGACACTCTTGGCACATTTTTTTTATACTCACCTTAATTACCAACAACTAACAACCGGCTCGTCTACCCAAAATTTCGCACCGTTACCGAAAACGGGACAATTTTTATATCCCAGAGTCCGTTGCGGGGACACCGGGACTCGTAATTATAAAAGGGACTGTCCCGTTCATTACGGGACGTCTGGTCACATTATGTATAATATATGTGGGTGTGCATGTGCGAAGCCGAGGCGGGCAGCTAGTTATATATTATATATCAATATTTTTAGAAGACGTTTATTTACTTATAATATGAAGAAGAAATAGATTTTGTATATGGTAATAGATAAAATAAATACTTGACCATATAAAAAATAAAAGCGTCGCCGTGGAATAAAGCGAGAAATATCATTAGGTATACTTTAGTTAGAGTTTAACCTTAAAATATAAATATCAGCTACCATATTCATGTGGATAATCTAAACATGTGCACGGTTGTTCAAACTAGTTGTTCATCAAAACGTTGAAAGTGTCCATCGTGCGGTTTACTGGGGCAACGGCACGTAACGGGATTCGTTATTTACAAACCAACGATAAAACGAAAGTTGGGAAAGTTTACAATTAGATGATGCATCGGTAATTTGTACAGAACTACAGAGTCATTCATGTCAGAGAAAATAAAATATAGGTAAGAGAAATTACCGAATTGCTAATCCTTGATTAATTCGAAACAATTTATGATGAGAACAATGGATCGTTAACAATTTAAATTAATAATCCTCATCATTATTATATGACCGTCTGATATGTGATCTGACAAATGTACAAAAACGAAAAAGCGGGATATGGTAGCATTAGTCATGTTATAGCTGATTGAAGTTTCAATACTAACTGTTAAAATGTGGAGGTTCCAAAACAGGTCGTTTTTTATAATTTCCTTCATTCTAACCGACCGGATTTTGATGATTCTTTTTACAATTCATATAATACGCCATAGTCCTAGTACGTACATATATTACAAACAAAATTTTGATTTTATGGTGAAAGAAATTTTTTAATGATAGGAATGATATTACTAACACTGCCATACTAATTCGTAGATAATAGTTATAAATGCGACTTTAGCCCACGGATCTTAATGAACTTGAACATGAGGGTAGATTGTGTCATTGTGACATACGGATGTTTAAAATAAAATGCAAGGAACTAAAAATTTATACAGATCCAGTCGTCGATAACAGCTAGATTAATATATGTATCTTTATTTATAATTTATCTTATAAAAATGATTAAGGTATTTTTAATAATGGCCGATTGGATATCTTGTTATCAGGTTAAATACACTACATACAACACTACAACTACTCAAGTTTTACATTAGTAAAGCATGAGTAGTTTATTGAACAATTTGATTTTAATATTAATGAATTCACATATACGAAAATAGTTCATTACATGTATATACAGAAAGATTCATCTAGTTTGGCTGTGACAAGATTACTAGAGGACTAATATGTCATACCATTTATCCTGTAATTTCACCATTTATATATTTTACTAACCTTATCGCACCTTACAACTGAAAGACAGCCTGCAAAGCAACTTGCATAGCGGCTGAAATAGCTGAGTTTGAGAGATTTACGCAGACTATTTTTTACAGTTTATTTCAGTCGGTAGTAATGAATGATATATTAATTGTATAATTAGATCGAACATATGTTCGTATGTAAGTAAATAGTTTCGTCAACTGGATGTTTACAGGTTTTACAAGGTAAGCTGATGTTTGTGATAGTACTCTCATATTAATCGTCCATGATAGTATTGTAATGTGAATGTCGTAGAATGTATACGATATGTATATTTTTTATATTATTTCCAAACTATGTTGTAAAATACATCTGATTAAGGAGCTAAGTGCCAAGACGCCGCGGCGATCGAGGTCAGATGCGAAGACAATGGAGTTTTATGAGATGTGGGTCAAGTTCACTATGTGCGATCGGCTACTCACCAGTCACGCGTACAAAATGCTAAAAATCGCAAAGAAACATTGTCATGTTTTTTACGCATAATCAAATATAGGTGTAATTACCTAATATAAATAAAAATCATTGGCTCTATTCGTTAATTCCTTCATGTTAGATACATATGTTTGTAATTGTTAGGACAAGGTTCGTATGGAAGATGATTGAAAATCGGAGAAGTGAAAATTTTGAGTCATAAGATATAAAGAAATATTGAGTGATTCAGATTTATTTTTTACTTTAATTTAGCTGATAAAATGGAACGTTTTGCTTCAAAAGTGCGATCTACACCCGTGCAAATGTCGGGCAGATATTTATTTTTTTAACAAATAATAGTCCATGATTATGAAATCATTCGTTATGTTTACCCAACATGACAATTTATTAATATATTATTATTATTACCTAGTTCTGTTTATCTAGTATTTTATTTAAATAAGGAAATATTACATGGGTAACATCTTGTAATGGTAGGTTAACTGGTACTGTTAAGATAACTGAAAAATATGACGTTTTCTGCTTCCTGCCTACCTATTGGTGAGCAAATACATACTCTGTATTGCACACGAGAACAATAACTAAACTGGTTATTGTTCTGACATTGCACAACATATACATAATGTTTGTCATTATAATTCATCTTACAGAGCCATATATTATTGCGAAGGAACATTGCATCTATATATATTTTCTAATGGATATATTGCTTTTTTTCAATACCTTCATATAAAATATATCTAAATAATTATAGTAAAGTTAAAAAACCTGCCGTTAGTTATTTGATTACTTACATAGACGAGTCCGTCCAGATGGAGGACTGGAGTAGATAGAGTACAAAGACACCCAGGCCATTGCCAAATTATGTGCATAACAAATGCAACTGATGTAGAGACTGTTCTAATATAATGGAATAACTGAGTTATGTTGACAATAATAAAAACAATTTTTAATGTCTTAATAATACATATTATATTACTGAATAGAATAAAAGAATTTATTCTATAATACTGTACGTATTGTTGTTCTTAAGAATACAGCGCAATATGTAAGAGTTGGTAGGTAGAATAATATCTTATAGTTCATGTAATGAATCGAATAAATTCCATACATCCGTTAATCTCACACGGCACTCAAAATAAGCAATAGTTAGGTAGCAGTTTACTAGAATAGTATCAACGCATCAAAATTTCGCCTTTTCAGGTAAAATTGAGATTAAACACTATATCGATTTTTTTTAAATCTACGCAGCACTAGTGGAGTTTGTATCAGGCACGCAACCACACAGATTATTTCTAGTCCATTTTTTGACACTGTGTACTATATTATGTTTATCAAATTGTATACATAAAACATAAAATTCACTAAACACAATGCACATTCTCAGCAAAGTTTTATCTGTTAACTGTTGTACGAATAGTAAGGAAAAATATAAGATCTGGTTGTACTTATCTAATCAGAATATGTCCGATAAGTGATAACGGGTCATATGGTAATGGATTGTTTATGCAGATTCTAAATATACCATGACATTGCCAAGGCAAAATTGTGAAATATTACGTGACCATGATCGTTTATCAAAAGTGGTCACTAAAATAGCCTTGTTGTCTTTGCTATTCGTAACTTCGCAATTATGCCTAGTTTCTGAACTTGTTTTCTAGTATGCATGGTCATATTATAAGAATTTATAATTCTTATTATATGGTTATTCCGACAAAGTACATACGTACCTACCTATAATAATACGAGTTGTAGAGTTTAGTACTTTCAATGGATGTTTCTATGTATTATATGAATAGGTAACGTTCAATTTCCTATATTAGATATCTTAATTAATTTTATCAACTCAATAGGTAAAAATATATAGTTAAGGTACATCTATCTGGATAGGATAGTATTCTTAGAGAGGTTTACCTTTGCTAACATCGATATATTATAATAATTACCGTAGCGTGAAAATAGATCAGCGTGATTTTCTATTTTATAATAAAATGTAGCTTCATTATAAGACGTGGTACTTTGCATACAATATTTTATAATACCATTGAACATATGAGTCCTAGTAACTAGTTCCATATATCTAGAATACATTATTTCAATGCATGTATATTGTATATGTATAGTTTTGATTCATTTAATGTGTAAAGGTTGCTTACATCACGTCTATAAAATTATATGAGTAGGATTCTGTCACATTATGACAACATAGATAGATTTAAATCTAGGATTAATTAAAACCAGCGAAACTTGGCCTTTGCCACTTGTTAGCAGTCTTCGCCTACTCCTCACTCGTACAGTAAACTGTTATATTCTGTAATAGGGCTTCATGTATATATAAATATAGTGTAATGCCGATCGCTTCACGCTTATGTAAGAGCATACTGTCCATGAAGGTGAGAAGGTCGCATATGCATATGCGGCCGACAGTACCAGCTAAGGTCACCAAGGCGTGCTAAATTCTACATGTCTTTATAAGTTAGGAGTACGAGTGTTGTGTGCCAGTATTCTAAAATACAAGTCGAGAGATAATTTAAAAAAAAGAATCATATACAG